TGACTGTGTGCAGTAGTGGTGGCACTGCCTTCCCCTCTCCAGGAGATGCCTCATGGTAGATGTGTCACATCCTGTACTGTCACCAAGGCTGTAGCACACTGTGTTAGTAGGCCTTTGGCTCATTCATGGCTCTGTCAGGTGCCTGCTCAAAGCTGAACCCTTTGTTTGGGAAAGAGGATCTGGAAGGAGGTATCTGCTCCATCAGTTGTTAACAGAGTGGTCTCTGCCTGGAGCCCACTCCCATCATTGGGGCAGTCTGGTTTATCCAAGCCATAGCTTGTCTCCTGAGACCATCTTGTCTCTGCCCCGTGTTGTCCCCTATCAAAAGTGCTGGGCAGGCAGCAAACCCCCAGCTGCATCCTGAGCAGGGCCTGTGGTTTTGTCGTTGCAGAGGAACGTGACCCCACTGTGTGTCTTCTGGCAGGAGGACACCTCTGGTGAGTGGCCCTGCCCTCGGGTGTGAAGTCAGGCCCTTTTCCCCAGGTACCACAGCCCCACCAGCAGGGTGAAGGCTGCTCTGCACCTTCCTTCCTCGCTGCATCTCTGTAAGCCATTCCCACGGGGCTGGTGTCAGTTTTTTCCCTCCAGAGCTAGCCCCAGAGCTTTCCCCTTCCCTAGGGATGGGTTCCTGAGCTGAGGGGGCTATTTGAATACGTGTGCTTGGCCTGGGACAAGCTGGGACCCCCCACTCTTGTTCTCCCTCTTTCCATGGACACCTTGCCCTGAAGATCCTCTAGCCCGTGGCAGAGGTTCCTGCTGCTCACCAGGTGCTTTCCCTTTCTCTTGCACAGCCAGTTCTGGGAGCTGGGACAGCTATGGGTGCACCACAGTGACAGGGAGCAGCCACACAGAGTGCAGGTGCAACCACCTCACCTACTTTGCTGTGCTCATGGTGGGTAGCACCTTCCCTCAGATCCCTCACATAATTCCCAGTGGTGCTCTTCCTCACCATCTCTCATTCCTCCTCCTCCTCAGGTATCCTCTCCAGAGATCACCTCTGTGCACAGGAATTACCTCAGTATCATAACCTACATTGGCTGCCTGATCTCGGCTTTGGCATCCATTTGCACCATCTTCTTCCTCTACTTCAGGTACAGTCTGATGGTTCACCCCACGCTCCCTGTCTGTGTCCTGTCCCTGGCCATGAACCCCTGGGTGGCCACAAGCTCCACAAGCACTTGGTGGCCTGGATAGAAGCATCATGAAGGAGCCTTGTTTGAAGAAAGCAGAGTTCTGTCCAGGATCCACCCTCTTGGTCAGGTCTCCTGCAGAGTGCTCAGAAACACCAGCTCTTTTCAATGATTTCGGGAAATCTTCTTGCTTGTTATGGATACAGCAAGTAGAAGTCTGCAAAGGTCTTTTCAAGGACCTGGAGGAGAACATGAGTGTCTTCTCCTGAGTCATGTCACTGTTCCTAGGTGGATGATTCAGACCTGAAATCTTTGAATCATAAAAATATAGAATGGTTTGGATTGGAAAGGACTGAAAGATCATTCATTTCCAAACCCCCTGCCATGGCAGGGACAACTTCCACTGTACCAGCTTGCTCAGAACTCCATGCAATCTGGCCTTGAACAATTCCAGGGATGGGGCATCCCTAGAACTTCTTTTGCCAACCTGTTCCAGGGCCTCACCACCCTCACAGGGAAGAATTTCTTCTGAACATCTAAACTAAACCTGCCCTCAGATTGAAGCCATTCCCCCTTGTCCTGTCACTCCATGCCCTTTTTCAAAGTCCCTTTCCAGCTCTCTTTAGGCACTGGAAGGTGCTTTAAGGTCTCCCTGGAGCCTTCTCCAGGCTGCACAACCCAAACTCACTCAGCCAATCTCCACAGGAAAAGTTCTTCATCCCTCTGAGCATCTTCGATGCAGGGTCAGCTGCAGGGGGCTGGATCTGCACGTGGGATGGGTGGTCCCACCTGTGGGGTTGGTCTCAGTCCCTGGCACTACCAAAGGGTCTCCTTGCTCTTCTGTGGGGCAAGCTGCCCCATGCAGGGCTGTGGGGTGTTGTGGGCACCACTGGTGCTGGCCAGGCACGGTGGTGAGTTCTGCTCCCTTTGATTCTCCAGAAGCAAACAGCGAGACCAGATCACGAGCATGCACATCCACATGAACCTGCTGGCCGCCATCTTCCTCCTGGACGTCACCTTCCTCATCTCCGAGCACTTGGCTGCCAGCAGCAGCGAGGCCATCTGCAGAGCTGGGGGGCTGTTTCTGCACTTTTCACTCCTGAGCTGCCTCATCTGGATGGGCATTGAGGGCTACAACCTCTACCGGCTGGTGATCGAAGTCTTCAACACCTACCATGACCACTTCCTCCTCAAGCTCTGCCTCGTTGGCTGGGGTGAGACACCCTGAGGGCACTTGGGCAGGCCTTTCCCACTGGATATGATGCTGGGATGGGGATGGAGACCCAGCTGTGCGGGAGCAGCTGTCAAGAGCCGTGGTGGAGAAGGAGACTTGAAGGCTGAGAGCAGAAGCTGGTGCTAAAGCAAGGGTGGATCATCCTGGGGGATCTTCCAGAAATGGAGACCTGTGAGAGCCACCACTTGGGATCTGTAAATTGTAATAGGATCCTTTCTTTCTGAAAGAAACATCCAGGACAGCCCAGAGCTGGATGCAGGAAGCACCCATGCTTCTCTGCCATGCTGGAGGTCATGGCAGGAAGATCTTATGATCTTTTATGGCCTAAAGCTCCATATCCCTGGGAGGTCCCAGCTGGGGTCAGCACAGCACTGCTCCCTCCCTGGCTGGGGCTTATGCCAGGTGCCCTTGCTGTGTGTTCCATCCCTGGTTTCCCTTTGGGAGGGAGGTTGGCTTGTGCTCTGCACAGGCAGAAAGGGCCAGCAAGTCCTTCCAGCAGATCCAAAGGCCAGGGAGTAGGGCAGCCACTTCACTCTGCTCTGTCCACTCAGGACTCCCCTTGGTCTGCGTGATGACGATCCTCATGGCTAGCTGGGCAAACTACGGCCCCGTCTCCATTCCCATCTATGAATCCGTGGATGGCAGAACCACCAACGCAACCATGTAGGTCATGGGAGATGGGTTACCTGGTCTCTGGTCGTAGGTAAAGTCAGCTGGCTAAACCTTCACCATGGCCTGGGGCTTTCCTGGGGTTGTGTGCCAGGGGGATCCCCCTTCCCTGGGTGCTGGGCTGGCACCACACTTCTATTCTTCTCCCAGCCCCTCCTTGTGCCCCCGTGGGTGGACACAGCATAACCCTCTGCCCTTTCTCCTCCCTCCAGGTGCTGGATCACGAGCCCCCTGGTCCATAACACCGTGAACCTGGGTTTCTTCAGCCTGGTGTTCCTCTTTAACTCGGTCATGCTGGGGGCCATGGTACGGGAGATCCTCCGACAGAACAAAAAAGGTCACAAGCTCAAGCACGTCCTGGCCCTCTTTGGGCTGAGCATCCTGCTGGGCATCCCCTGGGCACTGATCTTCTTCTCCTTCACCTCTGGTGTGTTCTGCCTTGTCTCCCTCTACATCTTCACCATCATCAACTCCCTCCAAGGTGAGCCTGTGACTCAGGATTTTCACGGGGTGGTGATGGTGTGCAAGAGGAGCTCTGGCAGGCTGGGTGGTTCTCTCTCAGCTGTGGTTTGTCCCTCAAGGGAGCTCACCCATGCTTCCTCTCCCCTCTGCCAGGTTTCCTCATCTTCCTCTGGTACTGGACCATGGTGCTGCAGGCGAGGAAGTCCCCTGACTCTCAGAGCAGCTCTGACAGTGCCAAGCTGCAGCCCAGCAGCAGCTGAGCCCCGTGGTGGCCGTGCTGTGCCAGAGCTCCCCATGCCAAGGATGGCCACAAGAAGGACCACACCATCTGCTTTGCTACTGTGCTTGCCCTGTAGCACCATGAGGAGCCCCAGGACCCACAGTGGGGCCAGCCACCCCCCTCTGCTGGCCCCCTCCCCAATTTTCCCAATCTGACTGGCTTGGCACCCTTGGGGCAGGAGGGAAGGAGGGAGGGAGAGATGCTTACTTGGGCAGTGGGGGCTGTAAAAAGTGGAAGGGGCAGGGTCCCCAGTGCCTTTGGATGTCCCCTCCCATGTCCTGAGGCCAGTAGTGATGGGTGGGAAAGGCCCAATTTTCAGCCCTTGCTGATGGTCACCATGAGGGTCCTTCTCCAGGGAAGATTGAATGACTCTGCCCCTGCCACACTCTCAGGCAGCTGAAATAATCTATTTTTGTTATTTTGTTGAATGTCTATTTTTGGGTGATGTAGGAGTTCAGTGAGCATGCCTGCACACCAGACTTGTGCCCATTAAAGTTCTTCCTCTCCGAGTGTGGCTCACTGGGGTCTCTGCTCCGTGCATTGGTGGGTGCTCTGATGGGATCCATCTCTCATCTGGGTTATCCCATTTCTGGGGATTCAGAACCTGGCATTTTACCCTGTAGGATCCTGCTGAGGATAGTGGGACTGATAATGGTGCTCCTGGCTGAGCACTGGCTGCCTGGTGCCCCCATGTTGGGGTTGGGGTTATGGAGGGAGGTACCATAGCTTGGGAAGTCTCCAGGGACTGTCACTACCCAGTAGAAAGGGAGGCTGATGGAGGACAGGGATCTGAAGAGGGAGACATCAAAGGATAGGAATCATCCCCTCAGTGGCTGTGGGGCCAATCTGGCTGTCCTGGCTGTGCCTCTTGCAGACACAGCACCACATCTCCCATCCCACCATTCCCCTTCCAGCTGGTTGTGGATCATCCCCCTCCATCCAGCTTCCAGCACCCAGCTGGGGCAGGAGCACCTTGGGATGTTCCATCCTGGAGGCTTGTAGTGATGCCCAGCTTAGGATGAGGATGCTCCAGCACCTGCTGGGCTGGTTAGGGCCATCAGCCCCTTGGCAGGAGTGTGGGGAGAAAGGGAAAGCAAAAAGGGCCAGGTTGGTCACGGGAGGGAACCACGGCGGAAGCGCGCGGCTCTGGTGGCCATTGCTGTGAGCTGGGACAGGAGGTCACTTGCCAGCCCACAGGAAGGCATGAGGGGCTCTCATAAGGGAAATGAGGAACAGCTCTTGCCTCAGAAGCGCCCACAAACCCTGGGGGAACCTGGGGAGGAGCAGAGCTGCTGGGACAAGGGGAGCAGAGTGTGGTGGGATGGCCAGGAGTAGCCGGGAGACCCCACAAAGTGGCCTGAACTTGTTCCTGGGCACTGTCCTACTGCTCCTGCTGCTGCCTGGTGAGTGGCATCCTTAGCACAGGGGGTGCATGGGCTTTGTGGGAAGGTTTTCCCATGGGAAGGTGTTCACCGAAAGACCATGTGGGGATTTCATCCTGAAATGTGGACAGGCAAGAGGGGAGCATCCCCACTGGGATGTGCAGAGGTGAGCAGAGTTGGGGGCTTTGTTGCTGGGGGCTTTTTTAAAACCTGGGATCAGCAGTCCAGGGTCTCCTTTGTGAGCCACTCTGGCACGCTGGTTTTGCCTGCACCAGCTCCGATCACTGTCCAGGTGTTTTTGAAGCCCATGTAGCTGCAGTTCTTTTAAAACCTGGTAGCTGCCAGACTCTCCTGCCTTCTCTTCCCTCTGTACAGAGGGAGGGCTGACCCTAGATTTTGGTGTTTTCCCCTCTTTCTCCATATCCTCCTCTTGCAGATGTTGCCGAAGGACAGGACAGCTGTTCTGGTGAGTCCCTCCTCCCATTCCTGCCCTTGCTCCCTGTGCCCACCCAGTGCTGTGGTGCCCAGGGGTCACTGCTCCCACCCTCCCCAGACCAGCACCGGGGTGATCAGCCCCGTGAGTGCTGCAGCGTGGCGGTGGAGCAGCAGAACCCAGACAACATCACCGGCCTGCTCCGCTTGTCCCAGCAGTGCCCGGAGCTGTGGCGCTCCGGGAGCCACCCTTGTGCCTGCCTGAGGGAGCTCTGGTTCAGGTAGTGGCCATGCCAGGGTTTGTGGGCTCAGTCCCCACAGCCCCTGTCCCACAGCCCCCTTGTCCCACAGGCTGCTGCAGTCGGGGCAGCACAGCTGGCCGGCTGGGCTCAAGGCTCTGCTCCTCAATGTCAGCAGGGCTGGCACCCGTGACGTCCTCATCACCTTCTCCCCCACAGCGGTGAGATGTGCCCCTCCCTCTCCCTTGCTTGGAAGGTCCCACACCTTTCCAAGCATCCCTCAGCCCCTGCCCCAGGGCTTGGTGTCCCTGCTGTGCTCTTCCCCCTCCCTGTGGGGTTGCATCATGGGCCCACATCCATTTCAACACGCCTTGGCAAGGAGCCACGTGAAGTGGTGCCTGGGAGGAAAGAGCCCTCCCCAAGGAGCCATCCCAGCAGACCAGGTGGCCAGGGGGAGTGTGAGGTAGGAAAGGAGGAGAGACGTGTGTGACCTTGTGCCTCCTGACCACCCAGAGGCCCCCCCAGGCTCTGGATGTCCCGGGGGACCATGTGTGGGTGATGGTGGGTAGAGAATCTGCTGGGTCCCACTTCCAGCTCTGCCCCCAGAGATGCTGGGTGCAGGGAATGAGGCTCTTCCCTTCTGCCCTCAGGGCTCCTGCCGATGTTACTGAGCAAACCCATCTGGGCAGGGCTGAATTCATGCCTGGAGCAAGACTGGTGGGTTCTGAACCGAGATGTGACCTGCACCAACAACCTCCTACTGTTGTTCTCTGCTGCAGGGCCCCAGCAGGCTGAACACCACAGAGAAAGGGAAGGCAGGTGGCAAAATCCACCTCCCCAGGGAGCTATTCCGGTCCCTGAGTAGCCAAACAGTGCGTGTGGTGGTGACAGTCCTCAATATCCAGCAGCTTGGCATGTTCAAGGTACAGGCTGGCATTGCCAGCATCCTTCCTGCTGCCACCAGCACCTGCTGCCCACCAGCTCAGCTCTCGCAGCCTTTCCCCTCCACAGGAAATCAACCAGACGGCGCAGGTGTTGGACAGCACCGTGGTGGGCATCACGGTGGGAGAGAGCAGCATCTCGGGGCTGCAGGAGCCCGTGCAGCTCACGTTTGCCCACAGGGAGCTGCCCCGAGTAAGCCAGCCCTGCCTGCCCTCCCCCTCCCTGCGGTGCCCTCCCCGAGGCAGAGGCTGATGCTGCTCTCCCCACTGCAGGGCGTCACCCCCCGATGCGTCTTCTGGGACCCCAGCAAAGGTGTGCCCTGCTCGGGGCAGGTGTGGCTGGGGCACGGGCGCTGCCCCGGCACTCACAGCGCTCCCCGTGCCCCTTGCAGGGCAGGCAGGAGGCTGGCAGAGCAGTGGATGTGCCACCCAGCCCGGGGACAAGGGGACAGTCTGCTCCTGTGACCATCTCACCTTCTTCACCCTCCTCCTGGTGACAATCCTGCTCCCTGCAGCTCCTGCTTGAGCCCTGGCAGTGCTGCCTGCCCACTGTGATTCCTTGGGTGTCCTGAGTAGCCACACAGGGACAATTATAGCTGTTGTCAGGCAAGCTGAGGTCCCAAAACCAATCCCAGCCCCAGCTCAGGAGGACAGCAGCAGGTCAGCTGAGCAGGGAAGGCTGGAAAAGGCCCCAGCTCTGTGCAGGCTCTGGCAGAACAAGGCTTGAGGTCCCAGATCCTGGTGGAGACTCCCAGGAGGGTGCTCATGGTGGTCCACTTCACCCACACCTCACCCCACCTCAGAGCATCTCCTGTGAGGCACCACTGTCCTGCTTCCCCTGCAGATCTTCTGGGGCTGGTCTGGGGTCTCTGCAGCAGCCATGGGGTTATCATCCCCATGGCTCTGGTGCCTGCAGTCAGCTTTTCTAGACTCCAGGGCCTGTCTAACCCAACATCTGCATGTTTGGCAGAACCCAGCTCTGGATGGCTCCACAGCAAAAGCTTTGATGGCTGTAGCCACCGCTGGCTGTGGGGTAGCCATGGCCTTCTGCATCTTCACCATGGCCTTCTGCATCTTTGTGAGGTGGGACGTGCCCCCAGGGGGGCTTGCCAGGCTGGGAGAGATGTGAGGCAGTGCCAGTGTCTCTGCATGGCCCTGCTGTGCTGCACGAGGCCCTGCTCACCTGTGACCCCTGCCTCTCCTGGTCCCTGTGGGGACACTCAGGTGCAGGTTCAGGTTTGAGGAGACCGTCCGCACCAACCTGGGGCTGCACGTGAACCTCGTGGGCAGCCTGTTCCTCCTCAACCTGGCCTTCCTGCTCAGCAGTGGGCTCTCTGGCAGGGCCCAGCCAAGGACCTGTGGGGTCCTGGGGGGGCTCACCCACTACTGTCTGCTCTGCTGCTTCACCTGGACGGCGCTGGAGGGCTGCCAGCTCTACCTCCTCTTTGTCAAGGTCCTCGGCATCTACATCCACCACTACCTGGCAAAGCTGTGCCTGGTTGGCTGGGGTGAGCAGCCTGGATGGGAAAAGGGGGGTGAGAGGGGCAGTGGGAGGTTTGGATTGGATACTGGGAAAATTTCTTCACTGAAAGGGTGGTTAGGTACTGGAACAGGGTGCCTTGGGCAGTGGTGGAGTTACCATCCCTGGAAGTGTTCAAAAGATGTGTGGATTTGGCACCTGGGGATGTGATTTAGTGGTGGCTGTGAGTTAATGGGTGGACTTGACCTTAGAGGTCTTTTCCAACCTAAACCATCCTGTGACTGTGTCTACCTTCTCCCAGGCTTCCCTGTTCTGGTGGTGGGAGTGGCAGGAGCTATTGGCAGCTATGGAGAATACAGCATCCAGACCACAGACCACCAGGTCATAGCCCACCTGTGCGTGTGCCACTGCCCACAGGGCTCAGGTGGCCCTGTGGCACAGGGAGGGGCAGCTCAGTCCTGCCAGGAGTGCAGTGGCCAGGGATTGCACCCATCTGGTTTGGCTTTGCACCATGCCTCTGCTTCTGCTTCCTTCTTTGTGATTGCAACACATCAGCCACCCCCAGCTCATGCTGAGCCTCCTCAGTCACACCTACAGCCCTCCAGGTCATGGAGGGATGTCCAAGGCCCACCTGGAGCTTGTCCAGGCTCCCTCCCAGCCGAGCAACACGAGGGCAGTTGATACCCACCGCTGTGCCCCTGCTTCACCCTGGCCTTGCAAAATCCCGCCAGGGGAAGGCTCCCATGGGTGCTGCTGAGGCTTGCAGGGCTGCTGGAGGCACTGTGGTTCTCTTTTCAGATGCTGGATCACTTCCAAACATCTTCTGGTCCACTACATCACCAACTGTGGTTACTTTGGCCTCATCTTCCTCTTCAACATGGCTGTCTTCGGGGTGGTGACCCACAAGAGCTGCAGCTTGCAGGGCACTGGGGCAGTGCCAGGATACCATAAGCCCTGGAGGGTGGCTCTGGTGGCAGCAGGGCTCTTCTGCCTGCTGGGAGCCACTTGGGCCCTAGTATTCCTCACCTATGGCATCTCCTCCACAGCTGTGCTCTACCTCTTCACCGTCCTCAACTCTCTCCAAGGTCAGCACTCACTCTGAGCTGGGCTCCCTGGGCTTGGGTGGAGAAGATGGAGGAGGCAGAAGCCAGCCTGGCTGTGGGTTGACAAGGAATTCCAAAGCACCAGTGTCTTCCCAGCACTGTCATACCCTTCCTATTGCCAGGGAGCATCAACCAGGAGGTCCCAACCACCAGCATGGAGCTGCTCATGGCTCCCAATTACATCCACTCCACCCATGGTGGTTTTCCCTCCAAGAAAGACATTCCTTAGCAGAGGACTAGGGGCATTATCCACTCAGGGCATGTCCCAGCCAAATGGTTCATGGGAAGGAGGGGGAGAGGCAGGAGTGAGCTGTGGAAACCCCCTGGAAACTGAAGAAAAGTGTCATTAGCATCCTGGCAAGATGCTTCCCATAGTCTCCTGCTGCTGCTGAGTGTTTGTCTTCCTTTCCCTGCAGGAATCTTCATATTCATCTGGTTGGTTGTTCTCTACTACCCAAAGACAAAGGAGACCACTGGTTCCCTCTCCTACATCATCAGACATGACAAAAACACCACAGCCTCCCAGGACTAGCTCCTGGCTGGACCAGCTCCTGGCTGGACCTGCATCCACTGAGAGTGATCCTGGAAGATGCAGCTTCCTCACACAGGGAGAGATCAGCTTACAGTGCCTCAGTTTACCCTTCAGTGGGCATGATCCACCTCAGCAGGGCTCTTTGCTTTGTCCCTTTCATTCCTGGTGGGTTGCCCCGGGCAAGGAGCTCCAGAGATGATGCTTCTGCAAAGTCCCTCCAGGCTGCAGCTCCAAGGTCTTGAGATGCCCCTGATCTCATTCCCCAGGGGACAAGGAGGAAAGCTCACAAAGCACCTGCCTTCAGCCATGATGGACCATCACCCTCTTTGCTAGAGGTGGATTTTGGTGCTGAACCAGCCCAGCAGTGAGTTTCCTGCCACTGGAGGGAGAGGATGGACTAGCTGCAGCCCAGATGTGGGAGGTTTGCCTCTGGGAATCAGCAAAAAGAAGAGGAAACCCGTAAGCTTCTTTGCCAAACATCTCCTTGCTCTCTGGCAGAGATGTGCTGTGTGCCCTTCGTGCCAAACAGCCTCTGGGGCCAGCAGCAATTCCCCCATGGACATGGTGCTCTGGCCAAAATGCACATACCTTGCAGGGCAACTGCTATCTTCTCCTGATCTGTGTTTTGGTATTAAATCCCTGCCAGCTGTCTGAGCACTGTGAATTTAGCCTTTAATACCTACATTATTATTTGTTATTTGCTTTTTATTAGGGATGTATCAATGGGCAAAGTCTTGCTGGCCATTTGCCACGAATGAAAAGAAAAATGTCGTGAATGAAGGGAGAAATCACTATGGATGGGTGCACACACAAAATGTGCATGCACAAAGCAGCCCTTGCTCTGCCAATGCTGCCTTTGTGTGGCACAGAGCTCTGCAAAGACCAGCTTTGATAGGGCAGGTATTTAGAGTGGGGTACTTCCATCTCCCTACACACCTGGGTGACTCTGTGGGGAAAAGGGGAGCAGGAGGAAGGACTCTCCCATCCCTGGGTACATACTCTGGGTTTGGAGACTATGGTCCTCAGGGGAGAAGGTCCAAGAGATGCCACAGGGAACAGAAACCCTGTGATGCACCTCAACCCTCAAGCACCGTTTGCATCCAGCCATTACCCCCTTCCCCAAAACACCCACAAAGACACAGCAAGAGCCTCTCTCTGCTCCTGTCCTGTTTATTGGGAAACAGCTGTTTCCTAAGCCATTCGCCTCCCCACGCTGACGGCCGCAGCAGCCACAGTGAGCACGGCCAGCACGCACAGCAGAATGAGGACCCTGGAGAGCCACGGGCTGGGTCCTGCCAAAGAGAGAGACTGGTTGTGTATCCGGGTCCCCTGAGCCAGCTCTGAGCCCTGGTGAGGCATCTCCTGACTGGGAATGGATTCAGGAGGTCATCTGTGACAGGCAGGAGCCACAGGAGCTGGGGGTACTTTGGGATTCTGAGGGCACAGCAGGACTCGGTCACCTCAGATGGCCTCCAGCCACCCCTGCCGCCTACAGCTCGGCATGCATGCCTGCTCTGAGCCATGCCATAGGTGGGCTTGCCCCCAGCCCTGCTCCTGGACTGCTGTTTGGATCTCCTGCACTGACCTTGGTGCCCAGGAGGACATACATACCCACGGGGTCCTGCTGGCCAGTGCTGGAGTGGTGGATCTCTGCTCCTGAGGAAGGAGCAGCCAGCAGGAGGATGGGTCCGTAGGACACGATCCTGTCGTAGTCACCTGCCAGTGCCCGCCTGCTCCTCCAGTGCCTGGGGCATTGCTGTCACAGAAGCCAAAGGAAGGGTGATGGGAAGGCAGGGGAGGGCACCCTGCATCTGGGCTGTCCTCGAGATCTCCCTTCCATTCCCAGGGAAGAGGGAAAGGAGGTCTCTAGTGGGTTCAGGCCCCTGTACCTTTGGGGCTCAGGGCTCCTGATTCTGGAGGTGTTTATTCTGTGAGGCACCCAAAACCAGAGCAGAGCCCCTTCTCCCAGCAGAGCTAGTGAAGGGAGGTCCCACACCCACCCAGGGCAGGTGCAGAGCAGCAGGGGAGCTCACCTTGGCACAGGGATCTGGGCTGTCAGGAACACAGAGCTGGACACGGCAGTGCAGGAACACCTCAGGGTAACCAACGAACTGAAACATCTGGAAGCTGAACTTGGCAGCAGTGCTCTCTCCAATGGCATTCAGATAGGTCACCGTCTCGTCATGGGGACACCTGGAACATGAGGGCTGGATCAGTGGGTGGCAAACGAGGTGGAGCATCCCAGCCTTGGATAACACATCCCACAGGGAATGGGTGCAGCCCACAGGCTGAGCAGGCCTATTTCTGTCTAGTCCCTGACACACTGTGGTGCAAGGAGAGGATGTGCTGGGGACACCCCACTCACCCCTGCTCAATGAGCTTGTGCTGCGTGTCCTGGTGTGGATCCGTGCTCGGCGTGGCCCAGCAGTCCAAAACACTCAGCAGGAAGTACTTGAGCTGGTGCTGCCCTTCCATCTTCAGCAGGACATAGAGCGTGTCCGTGAGGGGGACAGCCACACTTGGCAGGTGATAAGGCTCGAGGTAGGATGGGGACTTGTAGAGTCTCATGCTGACATTGAAGTGTCCTTCTCTGACCACAAGCTGTACCAGCCTGAGAGGAGAGGAGAGGACGAGAGCTCACAAACAGAACAAGGAGGTGGGAAGGACACAGGTGAAGCCACCAGTGTCTGGCATTGCTCTCAGAGCTCTCTAGGGCTCCCCAGAGCCTTTGCAGATTGTCTCACTGAATCTACTTGTCTCCGAGCTCAAAGACACCATGTCAGCAGCAAGGTGAAATGGGACACTCACTTGTCAACAGCAGTGAGAGCGAAGGGCAGTCTCACAACCTGCTCGTAGGCGTAGATGCAGGAGAAGTGCACCTCCAGCTGGAACCTGCGGGAGATCGTGGCCCTGTGCGCCTCCTGCCCTGACTCGATGACGTTGGAGTACGAGACATGGGAGCTGTTTTGCTGGAACGACACAACAATCAAGTCTCCAGAACGTAACTAAAGCCACACACAGAGCTGCAAGTTCAGAAGGCACAGCTCAGCTGTAGCTGCTCCAGCCCTGGGTATCTGCTGGGCTTTCAGCCTGTGTCTGGGGGCTGCTGGCACAGGAGTCAGGACAGCGAGCACAGCTGAGTGAGCACAGGGCTCTTCTGTGCAATGCAGAGCTCGAGCACCTTGTCTGCTCCCTTCCTGCTCCACAAAGCAAGTCAGAGACCAAGGGGACAGGGCTGCAGAGTTCACAGCATGTCTCCAGAAAGCTGAGGGCTCTTACCAGTGAATAATGAGACTTCCAAGCTCTCCTAAATAAGACAAATGTGCTGCCAGCAGGGGTTTGGCAGAGGCAGAAAAGCCTTCAGACATCCTCAGGGGAAGACTTTCAAGGGGAATGAGAACTTTTCAGCACCCAGATATAAAAGAAAAAGCTTTTGGGGTTGCCCATTGCTGTCCTACTTCACCATGTCTGTTTCTCTCCTGGCTTTGGAGCTATGGATCCTCACCTGGATTACTGATCCACAGGCAGTGTGGTTTTCACCTGTGAGAGTGGCTGCAAAAAACAGCTCGCCCTCTTCCTCCTTCTCAGAGACCTTGCACGCCTGGTTCTTCAAGTGGACAAGCTCCAGTGGGATTTTCAAGAGCTCAAACACCTCCTTCCTCACCATCATCTTCATGTGCTCCTCCTCACAGGCCAACTTCAGTACCACATCTGGGGGAAAAAGCCATCTGCAATAGCAATAAGGAAGAGGCCTGAAGGAGCCCTAGGCCAGCTGGAGGGTGGCACAGTCCCACTGGGCTCAGCAGCCTCTCATCCCAGCCTTGCTGCAGGCTGAGGGCTCTTCACAGACACTGGGCAGAAGACAGGCTGGTCCCTTTCGAGGGCTGTCCACACAACCCCCACAGTGTGTCTAGGGCACCAAAGGGACAGGGGCCCTCTCCTTCAGAGGAAGAAAGCAGAGTTTTTGGCCAGTGTCTTGGAGGGCCTTCACTGTATCTGTACCAGGGTGCATGTGCTTGTTCTGAAACTGTGAGGCAGCTGTGTCCTGCAGCATGCCCTGCTACACCATGGCACAGCCAAGGAATTAAGGCTTTTGGGGAAGAAGAAAATGGCCTGTGGCTGGCTCTTGTACCAGCACATAGCCAGGATATGGTTGTAGGGGTGTGGAATGCACCTGAACCAGGAGCTGGGACGTGCTCCAGGGGTGGAGAGCAATGGGAACACCAGTGCACCATGCCCATCACCCTTCCCTCTGGTGCCCATGGACACACTGGGGAGGGCTCAGCAGCATTTGCAGCCCTACCTTGGCAGAATTC